GGGGGGGGTGCTTGGTGTGGTGCCAAATGAACGCACACATCCAAGCAAATGTACGTACTATGTATTGAACATAACAGGGCCTGTCTCGAAAATTCTATTGGCCCGGCACGAGATCGGAAAGAAGGGTCATTAATCCCGACTAAATAAATTATATTTAAAAATATTTCTTTATTTTTATTGATGACAATAAGTTCTTTGACGTAAGTACTCATATTTATTTTAGATAAAAAATAAATAGTTTTTATTTATTTATTTTGAGCTATTTTTAAAAGTTTATAAAATAATTATACTATACAATTGTGTTTTCTTTTCCTAAAAAATTAGAAGTTTTATTGAAATCATATACTACCTCATCCCAAAAATATTTCTCACTTTTTTCCCGTTTGTCTCGTTATAATATTACCCCCATTTCAATATTTGTTTCGTTCGACTTTTGCAGTTAAACTAGATTATTTTTTATCATCAATTAAATAAAATTTATATTTAATGATACTAAAAATGATTTATTTAAATTTATCTTATTTTTTCCAAAATTTCAATTTAATTTTTAATATGCAATATAATATTTATTTAGTTGATAATCATAGTTTGTTCAATTTGACTGCAAATAATCAAATAAAATAGATAGACAAAGACAGAATATTCCACATTACTCTTTTCGTCTTAGAATGTGATTCAAAATACGTCTTGCCCTTCTAAACAAATCTTAACTCTTAACCATATACTTCGGGTACTTTTGTTATTCAATGTTTATTTTTTTTCTTAATCTTTGTCAAGTTAAATTCAAATTTTTTAAAAGATGAAATGAGTAAATAAAAATCCATAGTACACCCTTTATAGATTCGTTATACTAATATGTAATACAAATTGAGAGTAATTGAAACTCAAAATTCGTCTAATTAGACTCGAAAAAGTTAAACTGAAAAAATACGCAAGGACGAAGATAATATATACAAAAAAAATCTAAAAACTTGGAGCCCCTGCAAACATGGGCCTGACTAGGTGACCACCTTGCCCTGCCTTGAGTTGGTTCTTTTAAGTCTCTTTTGCAACATTTTCAGCATTTAAATTTAACTTTTTTAAAAAGATTATTTATTGAAAGTATTGAACAATAATATTTTCAAAAATTAATGTATTACGATTTAATTTATTACCATGATACTTTAATTTATTAGGCTGTTATTTCAAAAAAAAATCCACATCTTAATAAAAAAATTATAAAAAATGCTAACGAAAGTTGAAAACTATGTTCGCGTACGAGACCCTTTGAGGTACTTCTCTATTCTGACTTATAAATTAAATATTTTTTCGTTGAAATAAATGAATTAAATCAGAGATAACTCATTTGAGTATGTTCATTTAAAGCGATTGATAATTTTGTAAATAATCTTGTCAAAACAGAAAAATGAAAAAATTAATTTAAGAATAAGTCCTACTTTTTTTACTTATAAATACAGAAAAAATAAGTACTTAGATTTTAGATTACTTGTAATTTAAAAATAATTTATAAACAATTTTGACTAATTTATATACACAAACAAACAAGATGGACTCACCTTGTAAATTTGTCGGCACACGTGCGAGCGGTGTGGGACAAAGAAAGAGACGACGAAAGCCTCTCTACCCGACACCCATTCGTGTCACAATTGTAAATTTTGGCAACCACCACCGGCAAATCTGTCCTTCCGCCGTCTGAAAACCCGAAGCTTCCGTTAGGCGCTCGTTTTCTTCTCTTCTTCTTCCGCTCTGGGCTGGACGACGACTCCGTCACCATCCCAATATACGCAAAAAAAAAGAAAGAAAAAATCTCATGGGACTTTCCCTGAAAGTGATCATTTCCCTCGCCAAATCTTTCTTCTTCTTCTTCTTCTTCTTCTTCTTCTATTCGCATTAAACCTCCCAATTGAACCCTGATTTCCAGTTGAATTTTAGGTTTTTCCGTTCACATACTCCCCAGCATTCGATTGCTCTGGTATCGTGCTGACCTTTTTCGCTTCAATTTCATTAATTGATTTTCGTTTTATCGCACTCTGACCAGTTTGATGCTGTGTTTGCTTGTTCTTCCATCGATTTCCCCTTGTTTTAAGATTAAATTGTTATAATTGATTGTTGCTCCATTTGTTCTTCGTGTGCTTTATCATGAATTTTCTTAGGATCTGTCTGAATATGAGGATCTTCTTTGCTGTTTGATTGGCATGTTAGCTTGCTTGACTACTTGTATTGGCTGTTGAACTGTTAGCAATGGATTTTTCCAGTGCACAAATGCAGATATTCAGCTAGAGATATAATGTCCAATGTCAAATTAGAGCATATATATGTGTGATTGGGGGTGGGGGGTGGGGATATGTTCTTTTTTTCCTATCATGTTACTGTAAATTTTTTACAGCATTAGAAAATCCGAATGTGGGGGCATAGGTTACCTTGCTTGCTTGTTCACCTAGTATAAGATTTTTCTGCTGTTTTCCCCCCTGTGGCTGGCTCATTGGTTTGACCACCAGCGCTGACATAGAACAAAACAATTTCTTTGTTTTATCACACACTCCATATAGCCTTTTATATTTCCTTACGAATGACCTCTGTATGGATTACATCTTCTTGGGATTTCATATTTACTGTAATACTTAGAAATCTTGAAGTGAATATTACAAAATGGTTTTTCATGCTGCCATTCTGTCATGCTATTTATTGCGATAATCATCAATCATCTGAATCTTTTCATTTATAGATCCATCCTTTCTGGGTTCGGGAGATATCTCATTGCCAACAAAAATGCGTGCACCATCCATTCTTGCACAGTGCTTGAGTGGCTTGTCATCCGCAGACAAGGGGTTTCACATGCCAGTAATATCTGACCGAGATGGCCATCTTCCTTCGCCCGCTGTAGAAGTTGTTCCTTCAAAAGTGAGTGCCATTTGCATGTGTTAAAATAATATTGGAAAATCTTTATTTCAAGTGTCTCAATCTGTAGTTGCAATTTAGTACTCCCTCCGTCCCATGGGACTTTTGCTTTTTAGGAGGGATTTAAGGGGAGTGTATTTTGGTATTGAATTTCCAAAAATGTCCTTTGATGTGATGGGTAAAAGTATGATTTGATGGATAGATTATTAGTAAAAAGGTATGATGTGATAGGTAGGGTATGAAAAAGTAAAGGGTAAAAGTGACTTTTTAATAGAAATGAGAAGTGTTTTGTGGGACGGATAAAAAAAGAAAGGAGAAAGGTTTCATGGGACGGAGGGAGTATATGAAGTCCTAGAGTCCTCTGTAATGACTTCTGTCTATATGTGTAATTTCATATTGAATTGCAGATTTATGTTTTGTGCAGGCTGCTCCCTGTACATATGCCGGAGAGAATGTAGACCTTCAAGGAATCAATATAGCCAAGGTACTGGCAGTATTAAGTCCTAGTTCATATCTTTCTTTGGACCTGCTTTTGTTAGTTCTTTTAAATGTCAGTTTATCATCTCAATATACACATTATTTTTAGGGGTTGAAGTGGTTGAGTTGGGCTGTTGTTTAAATATATAATCGCCAAGCCTTTTTAAGGGTGGTGTGAAGTTTGCCTAAAAAACTGACCACTGTGTGAAAACTAATTGGCTTGGCTATGTATGGTCAGTAAGTCAGTTAGGGTCTATGACCTACACAAGTTATGTAATTGGCTTGGGGCTGTCTAAATTAAGTCCAAAATCCAAAACATCACACCATAAGTTCATAATATAAAATATAAATAGGGTCTATGACCTACACAAGTCAACAAGATAGATAAAGATTAAAGCATATGCCATTACATCCATAAAATTATATAGATTACTAATCCCACAACTTGACATAATGACATGTTCTCGTCATTAGCACCTTAATCACAACTAGGGTTGTAAAAGAACCGAATCGAATAGAATATTCATGAATAATATTCGTATTCCTTAAGATAAAGTGATATTCGAATTCGGTTCGAAGATTTTTTAAGATTCATATTCGGTTCGTTTAAAAATTCGGTTCGTTTAAATTAAATATATTCGGTTTGTTTAAAAATATTCGATTCATTTAGATTTTAAAAAATTTTATAATCATTTAATCTATTTATTAGCTATTATATATATATATATATATATATATATATATATATATATATATATATATATATATATATAATTTGTATAATTAAATTTATATTTCGAATATATTTGTCAAACTCACGAATCGAATACCCTTGATTCATATTCGTATTCGATAATGATTCGAATATTTATTCAGATTCGTATTCGTATTCGGATTTGAAAAAATCGAATACGAATCACGCATCGAACAAAAAATATTCGATTCATTTACAACCCTGATCACAACTACATAATGATGTTTCAACACTTATATATCCAAAGAAAGTGGATGCCATTTTTAATCAAAAAATGGTTGAAAACCATGCTTTTGCTATGATTTTTTTCCCTGGTTTAAAAGTTTCTCCGGTTACGGGGAACTCGGTTTTTCAAGCTTTTGTGTTTTCTTGTACACCCATAGTATACATTTTTGGTCGCTGAAACTTCTTATACTTAGTGAATTTGTACGTAGCTACTGGAGAGGTGCTACACATTGTGGAAATTACTATCTTCATTCTTTTATTTTTCTTTACATTGCATATGTTCTAACTTCTAAGAAAGTGAAAAAGGGATGACACGAGAGAAATAATATGAATGATGAACCGCATAATCCTCAAAAGAAAAGAAGAGATATTCTGGGATCGGGCAAAAAAGAAAGAATGAAGATATAAAAAGGGATGAAGGGAGTATATTTTCCCTGAACTTTGATATTTTTAGCATATGTTTTTGTACACTTGTGCATATTTTGAAAGCAGATCCTGCTATACACATCAATATTAAGGCGTTCAAGTGTTCAACATTCATTTTTTTAATGGAAAATACTCTATCATCTGACTTTATGAATCATTTAAAGTATTGCTCAACCCCCATGTATCCCACACTGGAGAAGAGTTTTTGTAGACATTTTGAGAATGGTGCTTAAATATGTTTTAGAAACAAGGGTAGGGATTACATGTTTTCACCTTGAGAGTTTCTATTTCATTGAAGCTATGATATCTTCTATTCTTCTTTGTAGATTTTTCTGCATTAAGTAATTAAAGTTTCATGCTTAATTCTGTTTTATTCTTTAACCTGTAGGGTAGAATAAGTGTTGCTGATATTATTGGATTTACTGGCTCAGAAATGATATCCTCAAAACTAGATGGTATGTACATGGTACATCACCTTACATCTTCACTTCAAAGGCCTAACATCAAGGATAATTGGCATTCATTTATTTTCAACTGCTACATTTTAAACATTACAGCCTCTCTACTTTCGAGTAGGGGTAAGGTCTGCGTCCACACAGTCACACACCCTTACTTTTGTGGGATTCTACGCCACATTTTAAATATTACGGAGTATATTATTATTCTGTGACTGGTTGTTGTGTCATGATATGGAGAGCTTCGAATTTTATCATCTTAGTTCTTTTTACAATGCAGGATATCTGAAGTCTTGGGATGGTTCCCTTGATCTCGTTAATGTTCTCAAGCACGAGATCAGGGATGGGCAGCTGAGTTTCAGGGGGAAAAGGGTGATTGAGGTACTTTCACTTAGCAGATGTAATTGGAGATGCATAGTATAACTTTATAATCACTTGTTACTAGCTTGTTCCAAATTGTTTGTCTTTCTTTTTATCCTTGAGGGATGTTGCATTATGCCAATAAATATGAGTGTTAATGTGAACTAGGGCTGTGTTCTAGGGTTTCCTATATTTCAAAACTTCATGTCAAACCTGAACATCTAAAGTTCAAACTTCAAAGAAAAGAAAGCATTTCACCTTACATAAAATTAAAACGAACAAGGATGAGACACTTTTGGACTATAGCGGCGGTGGAAAGGCTATGTTAAAAATGACCATCTAACAGGTGCATGACCCTTGGGGCTGAAAGCGCCCACAACAACACAAAAGGCATTAGAAAAAAGTTACTTTGTATATGCAGGACTGTATGACCTCTTGATTGGAGTTGAAAGTGCCGAGGGCTAACCAACCAACATCCTAGAAATTACTGAAACCCGGATATTTGAGTGCTAATAGAGAAGAGACAACCGCAAAGTACATTTAATGTATAGTGGACTCCACTAGGTTACGTTAATGTTCCAAAAACGTTCAACTGCAAATCCGTTAACTGCTCACTGCTACTTGTTCTGTTTGAAGTTTGATTGAGATTATTTTATATTTTATTATTTTACATGGATGAATGAAGCACTATGCATGTCACTACCTCAGTCCATACCTTGTGTGAACTGGTAGCTTTGTCCTCTACGCTCTATTTAATTTCTCTACTGAACATTGTATTGTTGATTTGTTGCTAGGTACACTCTGTACCTATGGTAGAATACTAGAATATAATGATCTTACTCTACTATTTTTCTTTCTCCAGCTTAGCTGTGGATATGGGCTTCCTGGAATATTTGCTTGCTTAAAGGTAATACTCAAACTTTGTACTATATGTATTTGCTGCCCTCTATCTTTGTTACCACAAGGAAAAGTATATTTAATCATGATGTTTATACTGTTTAAAGATTGAAAAATGAGAAGGAGAACTGAACAAACATACAACCTTTTTAACTCAATCTTTGTATTGGTCCTATTTTAACTCAAATGTAGAATAGGACAATTGTGTGGGTGATATTCTTTTTAACTTTTCCAAATGAATCTTAATCACGCATTATTTAGTGTCTTAAGACGTGCGCCCATATCTTTTGAGAGCCTTAATATGGGACCGAAAGAGTATTTTATTTATTTTTCTAACATTGGAGGGTTTTGCTTGTCTTTTGTTTTCATTCTGTTTTTAAAATATCAGTGTTATGTTGAGACATGACTTCAACAATTATCTCAACTCATAACCATCTCACAATTTTTGTTTTCATGTGGAAAAGAATTTATGGTGATCACGATATTGAAATTTCCTCTCATGATTCTTTTGCGAGAAGGTTGCCACTGGAAGGACATCATGTGGAAAAGTTTGGCACTGCTTTATGCATGAGCTTATAGTGTTATAACTAATTTTAGACAATTAATTGGTGCTAAAAAGCTTCAGGTTGTCAACCTCAAAAGAATTTATTTAGGTGCAGGGTAATTCAATATAGTTCTATATGGTATGCACAATGAGATGTGTGTAATAAATCAATTACTTAAATCATCAAACTATGTATACATAGATCTAAACAGCCAGTGATGGTTTTTATCACTGCCACTTAATTGGATTAAGGTGCAGGAAAATTCAATATTTTACGATTGCCTTATTAGTTACACTTTTGATGTCCAATAAACCGTGAGTGTGCTGAAATTTGACCTCTCATAGAATAATCCAACAGTAATCTAAACGACCATTTAATTGATACATATTTTGAATACACATCACGTGGCTGAAACCTGAAATGCAGCATTTGGAATGCACTGCACTTTCTGGATGGTTTTCGTTACCCCATCTAAAGAAAAGGAAAAAAGAAAGAATTTTCTAAACTTGTTTGAATAACGCAAGATAATTGGCTTCATAGAACAATTCATTTATTTATTCATTTATTATAATTGTGGCTATAAACTAATTTTTTCAGGGAGCTTCAACCGTACATTTTCAGGACCGGAATGCGGAGGGTATAAGATGCACCACAATCCCAAATGTTTTGGTGAATCTTGAGGAAGCTCGGGAACGGCAGTTCCGTCAACCAGAGAGCCCCCTGACTCCTTCAAGGCAGACTATTGCTCCAACAGTGAACTTCTATGCTGGGGAATGGGAGGAACTGCCAACTGTGTTGTCTGTTGTTGGGAATGATGGGTGTGAGATGCCAAGAGGGATGAGCCTAAGCTTGTCTGAGGAAGATTTAATGGATGGTTGTAGTAGCCAAGATGGAAGCATCTTGGTCAATGAATCTTCTTCCTCGAGGCGTTCTAGGAAACTGTCTGGGAGCAGGGCATGGGAAAGAGCCAGTGATGCAGATCAAGGAGGTGGGTATGATGTCATTTTGATGACTGAGATTCCCTATTCATTGGCTTCTTTGAAGAAGCTATATTTATTGATTAAAAAGGTTAGCCTTTTTCTCCTTTCTTTCTTTAAGCAGCTTTTCTACTGTGTTTGTTTGAACATCGCTGGAACTGAAGATGTTGATGCAGTCTAGACTTATTTGTCAATCGTCATATTTGACCAGATGAACTTGTTGTTTTATGTGTCACACTTGACCCAGAGAAACTTCATTGATCCATGAACATTGAGCACTCAGTGTTCTGGCCAAACACTATTATAGCCAATGAGTGCTCATTGTTCTTTGAATCATTGAAGTTCCTCCCATTTGCCCAAATAAGCCGTTTTTACAATTTATGGACTGCCTTCTACTCCCTGTGTTCCAAAAAAGAAGTTGTGTGTGGGTGTCTTTGGTCAGATTACAACATTTAGAACTTGCTTATAATTATCTTCCTACTTTCCTATTTAGGTTGTCCCAATTTCGCTTTACAGTCTGTCTAGAACTGATCATATTTCTCATACACTCTACTCATGCAAATTTACTGATGATTTGGAGTGACCCTTTTTTCCTGGTTTTTCTTTGGGCAGTGCCTAAAACCTCCTTATGGAGTGATATACCTGGCAACGAAGAGAAACTACGTAGGCTTCAACAGCGCTGCACGGCAACTGCGAAGCCTGGTAGACGAGGAAGGCATTTTCGGGGCTCATTTGGTGACAGAGCTAACGGACAGAGAGATTTGGAAGTTCTTTTTCAAATGAGAAAAAAATGAGAGATTTGGAACAAATCCAATAGTCTTTCATAAGGTTCATGGATCCTCACATTTCACTAGAATGCCAGTCACACTCCTGTTGAACTATTAAAGTTCATAATAATTTACAGCTACTTGTATTATTATAATAATTGTTATTCTTCTTATTGGGTCTCTTTATTTAGTAACTGACCATTATGATTTTCTACATACATCAAAAATTGTATGAACGTGGACATATATTGTGTCTATTTATTTACTCCCTCCGTCCCATTTTAAATTGCCTGTTTGCCTTTTTTCTCCGTCCCAAAATAAATTGCCTGTTAGTTGTTTTCGTAAACTATTAAAAATAAAATACCTAAACTACCATTAAAATAAGTCATTCTTTTTCACATTATCTTCTCATTCATCATTACCCCTCTTAAAAAATAATGTCAATTTTGAAAAATCAACTCTATTTTTTATTTTCCTTAAATATGCCCAAAAGTCAAAACGGGCGATATAAATTGGGACAGAGGGAGTATTTATTTATTGATGAATGTAAAAAGTCATAATGGTAAAAAAAATTAATGAGTGATATTTTTCACTAAAAAAAAGTTTGGCAGCATAAATTTAAACTTACTTTTGTCTTAAATGGCTCTAATAAATCAAAAGTAATGAAAATTATACCGAGTAATTATTAAAAAGTTTCAGAAAAATAATTTATTATGTACTTCGGAGTTTAAAAAGGCACCCAATAGGCACGGCACATGACGATTTGTAATATTCATAGAACACATACTGTAATATTAATATTCAAATTGTTGACCAGAATCATTTAGAAACGTTTCACTCCAAAATTGCACATTTATATAATGTATCAATGCCAAACCATATCGTAGTGTTTTAAAATTTCAAAAAAATATCATAATAAAAGAACTAATCAATAAAAGTAAAAATGTTTGATGCACCAATATATTTTTATATCTCTACTCAACAAACTTATTACTTCATATTACCTCCGTTATAGTGTATTTTTTCAGGTTAATTTTTTTGGTCAAACCAGACGAACAGTGAGCTTCAGTTATTCATATTATATTATTATGTATTGCATTTGTATAGTGAGTTAAAATTTTGAAAGTTCTCAACAAAATAAATCTAATAGAATCATTTTTATACTAATATACATTACAATTGACACACAAAGTATATCATGTGACTCGAAAATATCAAACTAGACAAATACACTAGAAATGAGGAAATATTTAGTTATAGTTTTTGAAAAATCATAATTTTAATGTAATTTAAAAAATCAAGACTAAGTTAAAGTTGTACAAAAAATTACTCAAAAATATTGATAAATAATAATTGTAATATATATAATTTTTTTTATTTATAGAATAGTCATTTATACATATCAATAATTAATTAGTTTAACATTTTAATAACAACGGTCTAATTTCAAAATTTTCAATTTTATTTTTTAAAAATCTTTCTCGTATCATATTTAAAATGAAACGATTCCAATTGAAAAATACAGAGTACATAATTCACTAGAATTGCTTGAAAATTCAAAGTTATATTTGGAACAATGTGGTATTTGTAGTTTTGGAGTTGCTATTTCGTTGTCGTAAAGTTCACATTTAAAATATGAATCACTAGTGTTAACCTCGTGCTTCGCACGGGCTCGTATATATTCTGAACTGCTGACATGCTCTTAATGTAATTTTATTTATTTTAATTTTCTAATAATTATATGATACTCTATATGTGTTATATAAATTTTTTATATAAAGATGTATATATTTAAAATTTGTATAATAATGTTTTTGAGAAATACTAAAATAAAATTAATGATGGATACTTTTAAAAATTATATACAATGTTGTTTTTATAATTGTATTACTCCTTTTGTCCCAATTTAAATTGTCTGTTTTGGTTTACGATGTTTGACTGAAATTATTTATAATGCAATTTATTAGAGAATTGAAGCAAGATTAAAAGGTTAACTTTTCCTATTAAAAAACTACATTAAAAACTCTACAAAACAATAGGTGACATGACCATATTATTTTATCAAAATATGTTATAAAAATTTGAAGGTTTTATTAATCTTTAATATTAATAATGATTATTTTGTGTTAGAAAGTGAAGGATTTTATAAAGAATTTCATAAAATTAATTCTTATTTAATGGTTAACACGTACTCTGTGTTATTGGCGCATGTGTTTAGGCATTATCGGTAATGAATTTTTTAAATCTATTAGAAATGCACGAATGATTGTTTACAAATAAATTAAACTTTAATTGTAATGAATTTTCATACTCCATAAAAAATTTATTTTAAAAAAATAAAGTGAAATATATAAAAAAATTGCAAGATAAAAGATATCATAATATAAAAAATATAGTATATTATTACATGACATGATATATGGCAACACATGACATGTAAAACATGGAATGATATTTGGTAGAAGAAGGCTTATGTGGCTACACATAGTGTGACACTTGGTAAAAAGTCTTACATGGCATGACACATGGCGCAACCACAATTAATCCGCTCCACTTTATATATATACCTATGATTTCACACTTTTTGTGAACTAACAAATGTATTTTTTCATAAAAATCTAATTTTTTTGTGATATCAATAGATCTACTACTCCCTCCGTCTCATTTTATAACGCATGTTTCGTTTTACGATATTTGACTGAAATTATTTTAAAATCATTTTATATGACAAATGGTATATAATTAAAAAATAAAAATTACATATTAAAATACTACATCAAAAGATCTACAAAACTAGTAGTGATAATAGTACTTTATTTTATCAATTTACTAACGAAAATTAAGAAAGAAAGTGAATAAAGTTTGAGGCTTTATAAAATACCGAGTAAGTGTGTACGGATCCAAATTTGCCTTATTTTTGGACTGCAACATTACTTTCACTTTTCAAAGGCAGCCCAGTTTTCTTTTTATTCTTTGCTGACATCTTAGACTGCGCAGTCGCCGGAACTAAAAATTCCGATCACACGAGGTTCAGAACAGATGGATTCAGGTGGAGAAGACAAGATAAAGCGAATCCCCTTCAAGGACAGACCTGAATGGGCAGACGTTAGGCCGGTGCCGCAAGACGACGGGCCCAGCCCCGTGGTCCCCATAGCTTACTCCGACGACTTCTCCGATGCCATGGACTACTTCCGCGCAGTCTACCTTGCCGGAGAGCGATCTCCCCGCGCTCTTCAGCTCACTGCTGAAGCCATCGCACTTAACCCCGGGAATTACACTGTAAGTACAACTCCTGAAGCATGACGTAGGCCCTATATATTTGCGCCGCATCATATGAAGATCTTCGTTTGATTGTGCATAGTGATTTGCTCTATATATATTTAGATATGATCTGTTTATGGCCCATGTTTGGTTGACTTTTGGCTTTTCCCCTCAAATTTTAATCATAGATTTGGCAATTTAGGCGTGTGGTACTCGAGGCATTGGAGGCTGATTTGAAGGAAGAGTTAGAGTTTGTTGAGCTTGTCGCCAAATCCAACCCGAAAAACTATCAAATATGGTATTAAATCTTCTGTCATTTGAATGTCTCCGAAGTGAAATTTTAGTGGATTGGGATTTGTTTTTGGCACCATCTTCAAAACTGAGAATCTCAAGCACCTTGTGAAATTCCATTGCACTATTGACTATGTTTTAGCTTCGCGTAAATAATGGACTGAATCAAAATGGCACCAACTATGTTTTGGGAAGTAACTGCAGCAATGCATCAAGGGTCAAACAATACCTCTGTTTTTTTACAGAGGTAAGGCCCCAATGCAGTTTGGGATTATAATAGGTTTTGTTGTGTTTGGTGTTTATTTTTTCTTTTTCGAAACTGTATTTCTCTTAAGTTAGTTACTTGTTATCTTCGTTTTTTAAATCTATTCCATTGCTTCTGCCAGATTTGCTATTGCATATATACGAAATAGGGCATTACTGAATCACTGTCAACAATCAACATATATGTATCCGGGAATTGAAAACATAAAAAATAAGATGCAAGTAACATAAATCTCAACAGTCCGCTTTCATTATCTGTCACTCTTTGTGGTGTCTAGCTTTTCAACTTAAACATCTTATTCTTTATTATAGCCTCCTCCCCTCTTGTGTAATCCTATATTAATTTTAAAAAATTGTTCTTTTACAATTTTCGTGCCACTTAGGCACCACAGAAGATGGGTTGCTGAAAAAGTAGGAAAGGGTGCTCTGCATAGGGAGCTTGAGTTCACCAAGCAAATTTTCTGCAAGGACGCAAAAAATTATCATGCATGGTCTCATAGGCAGGTAATAGGTTTTACTTAACTTCGATGCTCAATGGTAGCCATTTCACTATTCATGTATTTATGTTGGCTTTCTATGTGGAGGAACATATTATATGGAATATATCATTAATTTATTTAGGAAACTATAGTAATGAAAATTACTATCAAATGCAGTGGGTTCTTCAGGAACTTGGAGGGTGGGAAGATGAACTCTCTTATTGTCATCAATTACTAGAAGAAGATATTTGCAACAATTCAGCCTGGAATCAGGTATAGATAGGTCTTGATTTATTTTTGTTGCTTTGATAACTCAGTGATGATGCCAAATTATGCACAACACATCATGCTTCCTCCTTTTTCCCTCGTTTAAGTTTTACATATGTCATATATCAAAGTTTATTTTTTGCATTGATTTCTCTTTTAATTTTAAATCTGGTTGGCGGGCAGAGGTGTGTTGACTTTTATTATATTAACGGGAAGATGGCACATTGGGCATCATAAAATTTAGAGCACATTGTTCCAGAATAGAATATGGATAATAAATAAGCTTGCATGATCCATCTATTAGAATCTGAAGTGGGTGGCTCAATGGAAAAGGGTCAGGTTTTCCTATATACAAACCCAACCCAACTTAGTGTTTCGGGCTTGACATTCTACCCAAACCGGACCCCTCCACCTGACCATTCGAATCTAATTGAACCCGACCAGTATTTTTTTATTATAAAACTTACTAAATTTTTGTTTTTAATAAGGAAAGATTCATACCATTACTCCCAGAATTGTGCATTTTTACATTCCAGACCCCTCCACCTGGCCATTCGAATCTAACCAAACCCGAACAATAATTCTTTAAACTAAAACTTACTAATTTTTTTGTTTTTAAATAAGGAAAAATTCATACCATTATTCCCAGGAATGCACAATTTTACATAATTACTCTCACATTCAATAAATGCCACCATTGTTCCTAGAATTTTTATATGTTTATATCAGTGCTCCAATGTTGATTGGACCACTTGTTTGACCTTGGAACACTAATATAAAAATAAACCAATTTTGGTGGCTCTCATGTAAATATATAAAAATTTTGAGAACAGTAGTACCATTTACTGAATCCGGGAGTAATTGTGTAAACTTGCATTATTCTGGGAGTAATGGTGTGATTTTTTCCCGTTCAATAAAACTCTTAAGGCTAACATAATAAAAACATAATACAATACGAGTCTTTCTTTTGACACCCCATTTGGGGGACTCGGGACCTGGTCCTACCCTCTAAACCCATCCCATAAACCCCACATTTTGCCAAAATTGTGCCACTTTGGCGAAATTCGGGGGTGGGATGGCTGGGGGGGGGGGTTTAAGAGAGGCAAGAATTGGTCTCAGGCCCAACGGAGATCCTGATGTCATATTATGGAACCCAAAATGGATGTCAAAAGAACTGTGTGTGTAACACTTGCTCAGGTTCAAGGGTAGGCTAGGCACAATAACCAACCCCGACCCATTGTGGGTTTCTTTTGTTGGGTTGGATTCAGGTACTTTGAGGTTGGGGTCAGGTTAGATTGTCATGACTAAATATATGACCAACTAAAAGATTGATAAGTGCTTTTAAAAAAAAGGTTGATAAGTGAGTTGGTCAAGTTAAATAGAAATTCTGATTACTCATTTGGGGTTTCGAAGAGGGAAAACGTGCATCAAGAAATCCAGAATCCTGCCTTTAGATTTGTTGTTAGTTTGTTACCTCTGCCTTAAATGGTTCAAGATACTAAGGCTCCTTCAAGCTCAATGTTCATGGACATTTGGCCTTTTAGAGGAAATTTTATTAACTTAAAATTATTAATCAAAACTCTTCATTACAGAGATACTTTGTTGTGACAAGATCACCCCTTCTACTTGGAGGCTTAGCAGCAATGAGGGATTCAGAAGTGAGATATGCAGTGGAAGCCATCAAATCTAACCCTGATAACGAAAGTCCCTGGAGATATCTCCGGGGTCTATACAAAGGCGATTCAAAATCACTAATCAAGGATTCTCAGGTAACATCAGTTGTGTTGGAGGTTTTGACTTCCCAAGGAAACCACGTGTACGCCTTGAGTATGCTATTGGATCTTTGTTGTCATGGGTATGAGCCCAGCAGCGAAGTGAGGAGCGCAGTACACCATCTATCTTCATCGGACTCATCAGATCCAAATCTGGGGAAAATGATCTGTTCGATCTTGGAAACAGAGGATCCGATTAGAATAAACTATTGGAATTGGCGCAAAACCACCTTCTCGGCCCATTCAATTCAGCGTCAAAACGAAGATAGGCTGGCAGGTGTGCATTTATAGCATATGAATATCCTAAACTGTACTTTTTTCCATGAACTAATATATTATGAAATATGTGTTGTCTTACGAATCCAAGGACAAGATATGATTCATTGTCATGTTTCTTAGTCTTGTTTCCAACTCCAATCATTTTGTTTTCCAACACTTTTCTTTAAGGTATTGTAATCTCTTGGTTGAAGTGCTCTGTTGAGCATTTACTTTGTACGTTGTCTCAATCCAAACTCGAAATTAACAGATGTTTGTAAAACCGGATTCCCCTGTGATAGAAAAATGCTAGGCATTGTATAGACATGCTCTCGTCAAATCCTCTAAATTGAAGTCATGAAAGATGCAGAGTAACATCATTTTAGGTACTGATTTGATTCTCTTAAATCGTTACGATGCTTATCCAATACTCTTTCAATTTCGACATGATCGTAAACAATAACATTAGCAATCGAAGTTCGAATGTACTGTATAATAATACTTCTAATAACAAAGGCGTGTGATCAAATTAATTCTACTAATAATACTACTAACATTTTCGTCATAATTCCTGCAAATTAAATTGAGAATGAAAATTACGTAGTACTAACATTATTTGCTCAAAACTCAAGCTTGACGGGTATCATTAAATTTGATGTTATTAGCTACCTGTATTACAAAAAACTGTTGTCGGGTACCTCATGTTTTGTTGTAAGAACTGCTAGGTACCTCTATTTTTCAAAATATACTCTCAGGTACCCTAGATTTTACAAAAATATACTAAGGGGAGATTTTCCGTCCCCTTTCCGTCTTTCCCCCTTTCTCCGTTACATTAATGCACCATCATCATCATCCATCATCACCATCATCATCCATCTTCGTTCTTCCTCCTCTTTTCTTCTTTTTCTCTTTCTTCTCCTACACCCACTTCCAATCTCCCTGCCCCACCCCTCACCCTTTATTTCTTCTTCTCCTTTTATTATTATTATTATTATTATTATTATTATTATTATTATTATTTGGTTCCCATGACATTGGGAACCAATGCCATGGGATGACCCGAGGACGCTTTGGTTTTTTTGTTAAAAATATAGTAGTAAAACAACTAAATAATAATAATAATAAGCATAAGAATAATAATAATAATAATAATAATGGTAATAATAATAATAATAATAATAATAATAATAATAATAATAATAATAAAAGAAGAAGAAGAAGAATGAGAAATAAGGGTGAGTGGTGGGGGGTCTAGCGGGTGTGGAAAAGAGGGGGAGAAGAAGAAGAAGAAGAAGAAGAAGAAGAAGAAGAAGAAGAAGAAGAAGAAGAAGAAGAAGAAGAAGAAGAAGAAGAAGAAGAAGAAGAAACTTTTAATTTCGATGGCTTTGGTTTTTTTGTCTAACTTAAAACGTTCTTCGCGTTTTTGTTTACGAGATTTGAACGACTTTATTTTCAATTTAATTTATTTGATTGATTGTAGGTGTAAAATTAAAAAAAATAAAATTTATATATTGAAAAATTACATCAAAAGTTTTACAAAATAAAAGGTAACAAGACTATACTATCTTATCAAAGAACTAACGAAAAATAGTTAAAGAAAGTGAACGTGTTAGGACGGGGGGAGTACAAAATAATTTCATTTCGTTTATATTGTAAAAAACATTAAAACATTATGGGATAAACATTCGTTTAATGTAAAAAACATTAAAACATTAAAATAATTAATAATAAAATTTATCTAATTTTTTTTTTTTTTAAAATGAAATTTAGACAAATGGTCTACAATAGATGAAGAAATGAAGGGAGTCGTAATTACTCCCACAATATTCACGTTTAACTCTTTAATTTAGAAAGGGAGTATTTGACACCATATATATTATTCCCACCTAATAAGATAAAAGCTTGCGTTCAAACCCGCGAGCGTTGCGCAGTTGGGAAAAACCTGAGTTCGATTCTTGGTAATTGTGCTAGGAGATAACTATGTTAAACATAGAATCTCTGAAAGTACTAAGTGTAAGCTCCACTCTTTGTCATTAATCTGTGATCAAAGTCTGATTTATCTCTTCTCGGTGACCGTTCAACTGAGTCTGAGGGAGCCCTCGGGGATTGAATGAAAGAGCCACTCAATTATTAGCCATTGCCATATTCTACGGATGCCTAATTAAGAACCCAAAGTGTTCATATATTAATAGATTTATGGACAATTTTGGTACTCGTATTAGATACATTGTACATATATGGTGAGACAATAGAACCGTTAACTACATGTCATTAGAGTCTATGTTTATCCCATAATGAAAATCTAATCTAAACTCAACCCAATAAGCTCAATACTACTCTCTAGACTTCGGAGTCAAACTTTTGTCTCCGAAGTTAAATAAATTTGGGTGGTGCAATGGAAGGGAGTATGGGTGGGTTAGGGACAGGGCGAGGTGGGTGGGTTTAATGGGGATTGGAGAGGTAAGAACTACCAATTTTACAAACGGTCAACCATTGGTGCCCCAATTGTAAAGAGTGTGTGTTGCACAAATTTACACCTCCAATTGTCAACTTTAATTATCAATTGAATACAATATTGCTTTGATACAAAAATAGCTTCATTAAATTTATTACATAAAATTTTTTTTAAATATTATTTAATCTAATTAATATACAATATATATTTTATTTAATTATATGTCAAAGGTTGAAAATAATTGATCGAAAAAAGTCAAACTGGATAAATACTCAGGAACGGAGGAAGTAATAAATAATGTATAATTTTTAAAACGTAAAAACTTGAATTTTAAATTTTACTCTAAATTTTATAGTAATAAATTAAATTCAAAAGAACTTCAGTCCAGGTATTATGCGGACTAACTCCTAACATTCTGAAGGTATCATGATTCATGAATGATGTCATTAAATAAAAATGCATTACGCAATTGCTGATGCTGTATTTATGCTATTGATTTTCCCTCAACCAAAATGTGTGTCGTTGCAATGGCATATTCTTTGGGGAATCAATCCCCCCTAATTCCCCTCTCACATAACCTGCTGCCGGCCTACTGTGTGTGTGTGTAATGATATAAATTTAAAAAATTATCTAATATAGAAAGTGAAACATTATTTTGGAACGAATAAGAAAGGCATTATGAAACATTATTACAGGACTATTTTCACTTTCTTTTTACATGAGCAATTGTATGGTTCATATTACTACATTATTCAATCATCAGCATGAATTGCAGCCATTATCACCTTTTTATTAAATGTGTGTGATGGTTTCAGTGTGAAACCTCCTTTTGGAAAGGAAGTTTTTTTTCGTATATAAATTTTAATCATTAGTTTCATAAAAATTGCATTGCATGGCGATACAATAAAATAATTTTTCAAAGTATCCTGCAAGATAATGTAATGAAATTTTACTAACATGCAATGTAATTTTTATTTAATTGATGATAAAAAAAATCAGGTTGAGTCGAAAAGATCAAAGGGAACAATCTTTTTTTTGGAAGGGAGATTATATATATAGTATACTGCCAGGGTAGGGAGTTGGGCAGGAGGGGTGGCTGGGGTGGGAGGTTTAGGGGGAGGGTTAGGGGAGATAGGAACCGTCGTTTTTACAAACGGAGCACCGTAGGTACCCCAAACGAACTAGTGTAAGCAAATGACACCAGTAGCACTGGTGTCATTTTAGACTTACCGTATTATATATATATATATATATATATATATATAGACACACACACAACAACAATAACAAGAAAAGGAGAGGGAGGGGAGCAAAGCAAGTGGGAAAAAATGGAAAGGTGGGCCAAAGAAAAAACAGAATCAAGATCAACATCTGATACTGTCTATAACTTCTCCTCCTCCTCTTCTTCAGGGTCACAGGAAACTCCAGTTCAGGCAAGGCATGAGTCACAGTTGTTGAAGAATTTAATGGAGGAAAAGAATAAGAAAAAGATGAAGAAGAAGAAGGAGGTGTTTGTTGAAGAAGGGCATGTGAAGGGAGCAGAAGAAAGAGGTGAAGAAGATGAGATTGGGAGGACAAAGAGCTTGACAGATGATGATCTGGAGGAGCTAAAGGGGTGTTTGGATCTGGGGTTTGGGTTCAATTATGAAGAAATCCCAGAGCTGTGCAACACCTTGCCTGCCCTTGAGCTTTGCTACTCCATGAGCCAAAAGTACCAACACAACCCCCTCACTACTCCACACTCTCTTCCCAATTGGAAGATCTCTAGCCCTGGTAATTACCACTTTGTCCCTCCCTCCCTCTCTCCCTCATATACTACCTACTTTTTCCCAAGAGTTCTAATAAACTCTAATACCATGTTGAGACTTGGAAGCTCCATTCTCAACATCACTTCAGGATCGGTAAACTCTTTACGACAAACCTAGTGAAATTCCACACACAAAAAAAGGAGCCTTGGGATCATAAACTCTAGATATCTTATTCTTAGCACTTCTTTCTATACTCGTATCTGTCTTTTTAGCTTTTACTCCTCGGAGTCGGGTAGAGTAGATGTAAGGTCTGTGTGCATTTTGTCTGTGCATAGGGGATGATCCAGAAGAGGTGAAAGCAAGGCTTAAATACTGGGCACAGGCAACTGTGTGCACTGTCAGATTATGCAGCAGCAGCAGCAGCCAGAAGAGAGAACATCACAAGTGTTGAGTGATTATACAATACATATTCTACATGTATGTACTCTTCAAAGTTATGTATGGCTTGCCTGTCACAACAACAAGAAACTATTTTCTACTGCATTTTGTGTTGTGTACTAGTACATACACCGGGGGCGGGACCGGGGGGGAATGGCACACTTGAAGTGTTACTGTGTGTGTGTGAAGTGAACTTATTATATATTGTACATGTTGGGAGACTCAAAGGGTTGAAATAACTATTTAGCATTACATAAATAGTGTCAAAAAAGAATCTCATTCTGAAAAACACTTCACAGTTTATTTCTTTTTTCATTAATACGGAGTAATAAACATGTGGCACCCAAGATTTCTCCTTCACTTAAACAAATTTTAACCATGTATTTTTCTTAAATTTTGTGAAAGGTAAACGGGTAACGTTTATTGGGACAGAGGGAGCATTTGATTATGTGAAATAGCTTGAAAAAGCGAAAAGCATGAAACTTTTTCTTTAAACAACCGTGTTTGATTGTACTAAATGAAATAATAGTGGCTAAAGTTATAACAACCCTACCACCTGATGACATTAATTTTTTTCCCTTCCTTTTCCTCAACCACATGTGAGACCAAAAAGTGTTTTCCAACAAAAAATAATTCATTTTCTTTTTATTCTGTCCCTAAATAAAAGTCTTGGTTTAACTTAGCGGATCTTAAGAAAATTGTTGAGAAGTAAAAAGTGTGGATAGAAGTTGTTTAAGGGTAGAGAAATTAATGTTGTAAGCCACTATATGAGTGAGACAAATCTACTCCATGACTAAAAACGATTCTTACTGTAAAAATATTACTTGTACAAGATATTTAGATTTAGAAAAACAATATGCATCAATGGATTCAATGCAGATTCAACATTATTGATTTTTTTTCAAAGAATAATCCTTACATGTGCCTGCAGTAATTTCAACCTGAACTCGAAAGTGCATCTTCTTCAATGTTTTCTGCATCAGAATCCTTTGCCGAAAATACAGGAGGTTTTGGAATCAGCCCAAGCATCTTAAACATGAGTTGGTCAGCATCATAATCGTTGTTGGGGGTCGTCAGCAATTTCTCTCCGGTGAAGATTGAATTTGCGCCCGCAAGAAAACACAGAGTTTGTTCGGGCATAGAGAACCGAACTCTGCCAGCTGAAAGCCTGACCATTGCTTTTGGCATTATAATGCGGGCAGTTGCAATCATCCTAATCATATCCCATATCTCCACAGGCTGAAAGTGTGAATTTAAAGATGATGTGTGTTAAGAAACTCTTGAAATCAGCATAATAGTTTGAATATTCATGGTCACAGACTCACAGCTAAGGGTCATTTGGAGGGAGGTTTTTTATTTGGAAGGTTTAGTCTTGATGTAATTAGTAGAATGCTTTTAGAAGCAAACAAGAGGTGATTGAAATGTTATATGATCGCCTATTATGTAATTGCTTCTATGTTTTTTGAAAAATCTAACACACCCATCGAAAAAAGCCATCAACCAAACTGAACCTAAAGGATATTGCTTTTAAAATTTATGTTTTTAAAATTGACAAATCTTATAAGTAGTTCTCACAGAACATTATCATAGCATACTAACATGCTAAACAGTACTTTCCAGTGCAGCAGGAAGTGAGAAAGTTTATGGCATATTATAGAGTCTTATGTTTAAAAATCAATAATAGATCAGCAGCACGACCCTCAGAAATGATGATTACCTTCTGGTCTTCAAGTGGTGTTCCTTTTACTGCAACTAGTGCATTAATGGGTACACTCTCAGGGTGTGTGGGAAGTGTTGCCAATGTATGCAATAAACCAATTCGGTCATCATCAGCCTCTCCAAGACCTATAATGCCACCTGGTTGCAGCAAATAGAGGTATATTTTAGATTTTCACAAAAAATAACACATTAGAATAGTCCAAATGAATAATACGGAGTATATCATAAAAAGGAAGTGGATTGTTTAAAAAAAAGCCAGATGCCCATTTTCCCCTGTGGTGAATTTACTAAATTATAGCTTGAGTCGCCATTCAGGCAGCCAATTTGATACATCAAAATGGAAGTCATGTCCAATATCTAAAATTGGTGCAACCGATGTATGAGAGGATATTAGAGCTATTACAATGGGAAATATCAGGTAAAATACAAATATGAACACCAAAAATGGTACCAACACAGAGACACCACACAAGTGTACTGTGGGGTGTAGATGCACACAAGTGTATGTGGCGATACAGTAATATATAGTAACAAACACGAGCATACATCAAAACAGCAAGAGTTTGGGTTTCAATATGTAAGCTCACAGCCCGATATTTAAAATTCAGTGTTACCTGAGCAGACACTTATTCCAGCTTCACGAACATTCTTTAGAGTTTCTAGCCGGTCATCATAAGTTCTTGTGGTTATAACGTTTGGGTAATACTCTCTAGAAGTGTCAAGATTATGATTATATGCCGTGAGACCAGCCTCCTTGAGCTCCAAAGCTTGTTGCTTCTCCAGCATTCCTAAGGTGCAGCATACCTCCATTCCCATGCTCCTGATAAGTTTATAAAATTTATTGAGTGAATAAATGTGTCACAGCGTTTGTTAGTGTAATTGAGATGACTAGTAACACACCCATAAGTTGTTAGTTGTAATTCCAAAATGAGCACCCAAAATTAGTGACAGTAACCTAAAAAATCACCATGGCTTTCATTATGACTGGTCTGAATAAAAAAATACGGAGTAGAATAACTAGTAACTAGCACTCTAGCAGAGCATCAAACCCGCCATAATTTTACATCCCAGGGGGCATCTAGAGTTGTTAAGTAGTAATTGTTAGCCAATAAATTCAAATGTACAGTATTTATTTCTTCTTTCTTTTATGTTTTTACATAACAACCCAAATATATTATTTATAATTAAATATCAACTCCAAACAAATGTCCTTTCACTAAATTGATGCTCAGAGAAGCTATGATTTGGAGTCTGGGGCTATAACCAATCAATTTCATCCAAAAAAGCAGATACCGAGTAAACTTGATTGAAGTTATGATCTGGGGTCTGGGGCTCTAACCAATCAATCTGACCAACAAAACTCGGTGCAATCCACATCAAAGAACTGAAAAGAGAGTTCTATTTGAAAGCCATTTCTTCCAGACTTACCCAGAAGACCGTCTTTCTTTCCTCTGTTTATTTGTGTATGTGGGTAATTAAAGGAGAAACATGACATTCAAGCAACTTCAATGCGGGGTACTACATTATACAATTATTTGTAGGGCAAAGCCATTACCTGATTTGTTTCACATAGTCAAGGATCTGGTTGAAGTTGGTCTTCCTCCCTATGGTATCCCTCCAAGCAGCACCCATACAAAAACGAGTGCTACCAGCCTCTTTTGCCTGTCAATGCATCAAAAAGAGGACTTAATTATAAAGCAGCCAGAAGACACATTGCAGAAGTCTCATCCCATGTTGTTTTCTACTGAGAACTAATAAGAATGCCCCACACCATTCCAAAAGTTGATCCATATCATAGTATCAAAACATTGACTCGTCTCATTTCAAATGTCAAAACTTCACATTTCAGGCAAATCATATCAACAAATGATGACACTTGCCCATTCTAATGGCAATCACGGTAGGGTAAGAGTAAAAATCCATTCACAATTGGAACATAAATCAACTATAAGATGGCGGAAACTATGACGAAAAAGATCAAGACTTGCAGAGGTGTCAAAACAAAGAATGCACCTTCTGTGCTGCATCCAGGACGGAGTCCTTGCCCATAAGTTTCTCAGCTTTCACGCCTGTGCTGTACCTGGAAGATTGAGGGCAGTAAGAGCAGTCTTCGCTGCAACCTCCAGTCTTTATAGACAGCAGAGTGCACTGCTGCACCTCCCGAAAGTTGTGGGCATGCCTATGAACTTGAGCCTGCTCAAACACAGGGACAATTTCAAGAAATTTGAATAGAAAACGAACCAATGTACATAGGAACGCGGAGAAGAAAGAGGGAAGGAACGGACGCCATGGAAGAGGAGATCGAGAAGCGGAGAGTCGTAAATGGACTTGATTTGAGGCCTGGTCCAGTCGTTCCTGGGGCCTTCCCTGATGCATCTATCTGCTTCCGCCGCAGCGGCGGAAGAGGAGCTAGCTGAGGAGGCGGCGGAGACGGAGCAATAATTGACCGCGTGCGGGTGCAGCACGTCCAGAGAAGACGGCAATGGCCGCCTGATAGCAAACCGAATCGAAAGCATCTTCGGTCCGATTCAGGAGGGCTGCCGCAGACGGCGGAGAGAAGAGGAGGAGATGTGGCGGCGAGGGAGGAGCAGCCCTGTTCTCTTCTCTGTATTGAATTTAATGAGAGCATTGGAGTGTCCGATGGTATATACTCCCTCCTTACCCATATTTGTCCACTTTCATTTTTACACACATCCAATACACTTCTTTAATTCATTTTATCTTGTAATTTATATATTAAAATATTATAAAAATTATATACTAATAATCTATATGTTAAGACAAATCAAACAAGATCACACATGAATACATTTAAACTTACACATTGAGAGAATTTGACGAGTCAAAGTATTTAGTTGAACAGTTCCAAAAGTCAAAAGTGGACAAATATAACGGGACAAAGTAGTATATGCTTTGTCACAACACTATTCTTTTCCAACAGTTCAACAACTTTTTATCCCAAAAACCAAATATGAAAAATAAAGAGTTTATAATTAGAATTTGTTTAAATGAAAAAAAATAATTATAAACAGGTACCGAGGTTTTTTAGATTAAAAAAGAAATAAGGAACATGAAAAATACATTTTTAAACGTTTAAAAAGAAGAAAGTGATTAAATTTTCTTGGACACATAGAGTATTTTGATTGTGCACCCGTTAATTAATTATTACTCCGTAATCCGTATTAGTTAAACAAGCCTAAATAATAAAGTTAGCTTTTAAATAAAAAAAAATCTTCCTTATCTTAAACTTCTCTTAAACATGCACAATAATGGTCATATGAAACTTTAAATGAACTAAAATAAAGAGATCTATATATCAAATCCTAATAAATGTTCTCTTTATTTACAAATTTTCTTCTCACAAAAATGCTAAGGAGTTAATCCTAAGATGTGCCCAACCCTCTCCACCTCATGATATTTGATGTGAACAAAAATTAAAATTTGGATAAGGACTCTTCACTCTTAAAATATAGTCACACCATCTATTATTTCGTGAAACTCTTGAAATAATTTTTTAATACGTGATTTTTGTTTTTAAATAAATACTAATTATGAATAAATTAAATTGAAAATAAGTTTAATTAAATATCTTAAACAACCATGAGAATTTCTAAATACGCAATTTTCGTCTCTGAATAAATACTAGTGATTTATAAATAAGCTAAATTAAAAATAAGTTCAATTAAATATCTTAAATAGCCATGAGATGATGGAGTAATTACTCATTCTCAATATTTCATTCATATGATTGTTCCATTAAATAAAAGCCTTAAGTGGAGTATATTCAAACTTTAAGTAGAGTGTCAATATCAAATATTATAGAGTAATATAGCATCAAATTCTATGTTTTGGGGTTTAATTTTTGCATTGAATTCAGTTGTGCTTAACACAATAGAATTTGAGGAGCCTTATTTCTTAATTCTTGAGTTTTTTTTTCTTTCTTGATATTGTCCCAGTCAAAGAATACATAAGTAGTGTACACATATAAAGACTGCAAATTTAGTGTCACAAAATTGAAAAATAATGAGATGATACAACAATGGCATAAAAGCTCATTCAGTTTTTAAACTTTTAATACAACACAATGCATGCTTACTAATTAAAACAAGGATTAAGGCTCATTCGGTTTACACGACACCCGCGCTGAGAGTCTGGGGAGAGGAAGGGTCCCACCATAACGGTATAATGTGAGCGCGCTTTGAGAGGACTCACATTTGTGGCCAAGGTTCCCTCCCCTTCTAAGTAAAACAAGAATCTAATGAAACATTTCAGTGAAGCCTACCTATTACTGGTACATATACCCACAAACTCCCTTGTGTTTGACTTCCAGAAACAACTTAGTTACCAAAAAATCCCGGGCCAGCCTGCGAGAGGAGCTCCTTGCCAGCATCCACGCCCATACGAACCATATCATCAAATGTATACAACCCTTTTCTTGAGGTTTCAAGTACTGGAAAAGAAAAGAAATAAATAAATTTAATTTAATGGCAGGTCAATTCAAGGACTTTGGTGTGTTTGAGTGTGTTGGTGCTCTTCCAAGCAGACATTCACATCTTATAAAGTTTTAGACGCACGCATATGAAAATTGGATATCATCCCACAGTGAGATGACATCATTGGTTGGGCATGCTCATGTCTGCAACTTAAAGTTTTTTTTTTTTTT